CATCTCATCTCATCTCATCTATTATTATCTCATCTCATCTCATCTCATCTCATCTATTATTATCTCATCTTTCTTTTCATCTCATTATTTTTAATCTCATCTCATCATATTTAATCTCACCTCTTTTCATCTTATTTCATCCATTCTAATTTATTTTATTCTGTCATCTTCTTATCCTTACTATCATTTTTCTTCTTTTTTTATTCCTTTCTTCTTATTTTTTCTTCATTTTCAGATTTTTTTTCTCTTTATTTTTATTTTAATATTTATATTTCTTCTTTCCCTTTTTAGCTTCCATTATCCTTCGCTTTTTTATCTAACTTATATTCTTTTGTATATTTCTTTTCTTTTTCTCCTTTTCTAATCTTCATTTTTAATCCTTTATTTTCACATTTATATTTAATTTCTTTTCTCATCCTTTCTCCTGTATTCTTTTATTTTCCTATTTTATTATTTTTCTTCTCTTTCCATTTCTTTTTTTACTCTCTTGTTTCTTCGATTTTCATTTCTTCATTTCCTTTACAATTTCAATCTTTTCGCAAATTGTTTTCCTCGCATTCTCATTAATTTTTTCTTTCTTTTCATTTCATCTTTCTCATACTCTACATTATCATTCTTATTTTTTTATTATGGTTGCTAATTCATTTTTGATCTTATTCTTTCACTTTTCATCTTCAGCTTATTATTACTTTTGGGTTACTCTTCTTCCTTTATTTACTGATTATGTACAACAATATAATTAGAATCGATGCATTCCTGCCTTTCCCCAGCAATCTTTGCATGTTATTTTTCATAATATATTCTCCGTGCTGAATTGAGCTTCATGTGTTTGCTTCCTTTATGTCAGTATGTGTTTCGAATCCGTTCCTTGTATTTAGTATACAATTCAAAATTTCAGCGTTCTCTACAGTCTGTTTAATGTGGAACTTGCGATCTCCCGGCTTATAGTGGTCTTGCTTGACATTCGCTCTCACGTAAATCTACTGCTCGTAATTCTGATGTTACCTTTAGTTTGTGCATCTTTAAAGGCAATCCGACACTTCACTTGCATTTCCTCCACCCTTGCTCAAACTAATGTCATACTTTATAGAACCAGACTCAACCGTACAAGTTACCAAAAATGCGTAATGGTCTTACTGCGTTTCCTCAGCAACAAATTAAAAGGACACTATTATAATTTTTATTCACTTTTGGTCACATATGGTGATAAGGGTCTAATAGCAAAATTTCCATAAAATTATATAAATAAAGCTGATGTTATTATTAAAGTCCATTTAGCTTTTCTCCCTTAAGTCTATTACCAATGCTAATATAAGGCCAACCCATTTTGTTTTGGGAAAATTCAAATGGTAACCCTTCCTCGATTTATGCAACATTTGTTAAATTAGATCTTTTTTAGGAATTATTGTTAGTCCCGTATTTCTAGTAAGTAGGAATAACACCATTTTTATATATAGGATGACACATTGAGATCAGAAATATCCTCTAATGATTTTGTGTGACGCAACATATGCTGTTTTGGAAAAATTCATCTAAAGTCCTTCATCAAACTACGTTATGGACCTCATACTCAAGATTTATTGATTGTCCAGAAACATAATCTAAACCAAGACACCATTAAACTCTGGTGACTTTAGGCCCGACGTTTCTGGTCTCTTCTATTTACTCGACCTTGTCAATGGTTTAATTTTTTTCCATTTATGCTTACATACATGCGTACCTATCTGAACCGACGTACATGAGTACAGATAGATATCGTAAGGAAATACGCCGTTGGTTAAATTTAAGTATACATATATATGGCAAGGAGTTGTGAATCCGAGATCGTGTTGAGAATACGTCCCTGATTAACGGATGTCAGTCAAATGGCGCCCGTGAACTCGATCTACAAAGAATCTATTCTCCACTTATTTTCACTTGAAGTTAAAATCTAACCAACCAAGAATTTGTTCGGTCGCTATCTTCATTTGCTGTTTAGAATGATAAGACCTCATTTTGGCCGCCTAACCGTGATTCCAAAAAATCGCCTCTATTGTCGTCAAAGTTTCTATTGTCTGGTGCCGGTGACATTCAGAGGAACAATGATAGACGATGCTGTACAGAGTGCCTTCATCGAGGTCGCAAATCATGTTATCTACAGCCTTCATGCCGAACTACCTTGGAGCCGTGAAATTTCAGTGTTCCACGCACACAAGAGGGACCATCGAGGACGAATGTATTCTAGGGGCGAAGGCCTGTTGCCAATTCGGTGCACCTAGCGACAAGTCCCAGAGAAGACCACCTCCCAAAAGGGTTTTTCATCAGGCCAAAGACGACAGATAGGGAGCTTGGAAAGTGGTGAGAAAAAAGTGAATGGCGAGTTGACATCATCTGCAATACCACCAACACTCTTCGAGGCTATGTCTTCGGCTCCAATGGGTAGTTCGTCTGCCTCTAGGAGAGCCGTTTATCGCAACGAGGCTGGGTTCCGAGTGGCCGGTTACCTGGCGGCCGACGAATGACACCAAATCGCTTATGAACTTGATGTCCAAAGGGGTCGACACGAGGAAATGTGGCCACATTTCCGGCCACATTTCCAGCCACATTTTGTCGTCGCACGCTGAAGTGTCCATTGTGAGGGACATCGGGCGTGTCCGCATCGCTTCCGAACGCCTCGGCCGCCAGAGTACAGAAGAGACCTGACCGAAATGAAACCCGTAATTGACGACGCCCATAACCAATAGGCAGCACATCAAACTCCAAAATACCGTCGACTAATTTAGGCATCACCACCTCCCTCGATACTACGGCATACCGTCCACCGGGACGGTACCCACAGACGCACAAACTTAGGGTGTCGATAGGCTTTACTGGAAAATTCATGTTGACGCTATTTCCGAGGTAATCAACTTCGATTCGGGCATGTCGTATGACAAACATCATGACAGCAACAACATTCAAGTTAACGAGTCAAGAAAGCGTACCGGCAAATCCACAAAAAGGTGTATATATATTCTATATCTTACCTCTTTGATGTGGTATAATGTGGTTTGTTCAGTTCCAATGATATGTCAACCTTGGAGCATGTGAGCGCGTCTGTGTATGTGTGTGTATGTGTCTGTGTCTGATGACTCAAAGTAGATAGGACATCAAAAGTAACGACTGTTCTTGGTCATCAAGATTTGATAACCACCATCACCACACCAATTTAGCATGGCTTGACGCACGTCTGGATAGGTTGATGAGCTTCTTCTATGTTTTTATGTGAGAGAGAAAGAGTGGGCCAAAAGTATGGAGAAGTGACCGTGATTTTAACCAGGCGGCTCAACACACTCTCTATCCTTGAGTT